AACATTATTAAAAACAAAAAACAAAAAAATAATAAACAGATTAATATATGTACAGAGAGAGCTGCTGACGGTGCGGTGTCGAAGGAAAGAAGTCACTCCAAGCTCTTAGCAATATTAGTGCAGTCTCTAATGCGGCTTAAGGGCATATTTATTCTTAATTGTGTTATTGATCCATGCCGGCATATTTATTACAGCTGGTCTTTTTAAATGTGAATTCGCTGTGTGCAAGCAACCATACAGATAGTGATCTTGGGCACTAGTACTGCCAAAAATACTTTGGTCGTTGTCTCTTAGGCCAAATCTGAGGAGACAGGACATATATGTTCCATGGCCTGTCAGATATTGTGTAAAGTGGGAACAGCCGCTATTTAAATTTTGATTCACTTTTGGATAAAAATTGTATAGTCTTCTTTCTGTGGTGCTCGACTATCGGTAGTTTTACCATTGTTTCATTAATCAACATTTTAGAGTATTTTTCAGATGTGAGTACGGAAGCGGCACATTAATGCTACTCACATGGGGCTCGCTAGCTGCACTTTTCGCAATCACATCTGCTGCTTAGTTTCCTTTAATCCCCGTATGGGCCAAAACCCTTGAAGCTTGGGCCTCAGACTTACAGAAATCGAAATTAATAGTTTTTGTATGACTTTGACTATGGAATGTCTACTGCGGCCGTCCTGGATAGCTTGCAAGCTTAACATTCAGTCTGTGTATATTCAATTTTGTAGCTTCCATTGCTAATAGTAAGCTTTGAGTTATTGAGATGCAGCTTCTTAACCTAGGAATGCATTATGAGGTCACCGTCCATTGCACACTAGGCACTAACGGTCCCAAGCTCTCCTTTGGATCGACCAATGTAGATGTCTGTGGATTGTAATGCAACTGGAGGATTACAGTTCGCTTCTATGCTGAAGTCTGCAGGGTGGCAAAGAGAGCGGGCAATATGATTCTTGTAGTCTGAGGATATATATGTCTTATTCCAAACAGTAATGTCTTGTTTCAGTCTGATCATTCTCACCACAGCACTCTCGCTCTGTACTATCAAATGGAAGGATGGGAGACCTACCAATAGATTTAATGCAGTTGCTGGAGCGGTTCGGAATCTCCTGCAGATGCCCAGAAGAAATGGTCTTTGCGTCGAGTTCAGTGCTTGTTGCATGTTAGTCGTGACATTGACACCCCATATGGAGATGCCATGAAGTGCTATGTGCTCAGCGACGGTTGCATACCATGACTTGACCATCTGCGAGAAGACGCCCCATCTAGGATCTTCTTTCTAAGCTTGAAAATTCGCGACTGCAGCTCGTCAAAAAATTAAGACCGTATATTGTCACTATGGGGGTTATTCAATTATGGCAAAGCACACGAGGGCTATCTGCCTAAAGGGAGAGATGCCTTAGTGGAGGACTTTCTAAGGGAAACTGGCTCGTATACACGTTACACATGGGGTAAACCACGAAAACGCCCATGCAGCCAGCTCGTTCGCGGGATTCGAACCTCGAACCGAACTACCAGTGTTAAGCGTCTTTACTGCTCGGCTGCTGGTGGGGCATATTATCACTATGTGACGGTAAAGAAAATGAAATAACCATAGCAGTTACCTGTACTCTCTGTAAATTAAACACTACACTTCCCCCAAAAATAATGCTGAAATTTGGAAAATGTATTTTGATAAGCTATTCAGGCGTATCTGTACCAAAGATATAAAAATAATTCATACAAAGAAACTTTTTATTCGGAATATATGAATTATCTAAACTTCTGTATTGAGTATTCATGAATAAATCCAAATGAAAAATTTAGATTCAAAATTTTGTTTCAAATGAATGAAAATTTTTTTATGAATTGCTCTTAAATCAGAAATTCTAATTTTGAGATGCATTTTTTTCAAAGCAATAATTTTTTGAAACAAACAAGAAAAATTGCTTCCCTATTTCTTACGCCCACCAGCGGCCGAGTGCTAAAGTCGCTAAACACTGGTAGTTCGGTCAGAGGTTCAGATTCCGCGAATGGTCTGGCTGCATGGGCGTTTTTGTGGTTTCCCCTATGTGTAACATTTACACGAGCTAGTTTCCCTTAAAGTACTCCACGAAGGCATCCCTCGCGTTAGGCACATAACCCTCAAGGATTTGCCGTAATCACATAAACCAAAACAAAATCTCAACTCTTAAATTGGGAAAAACCTTCGAATACACAGATTTAGTTTAAAATGCCAAACGCATTTGTTTAAAAGAATTCTACGATTTTAATGCTTGATATCATTATTTAATTTAGGAATACTGCAAAATATTTTGATTACACCCAGTACTCGAATGGTCTGCATAATGAAGCAAACGTCAAGGGAAAATTTGCGCTCCAAAATTTGCTCAGGTTACATCGAAATTGTATTACGTGCAATCAGAAAAGGTATATACTCACAAAAGTCTAGAATAACATATAATATTTTGAAGACATTAAATTAAGAGTGAGGAAAGGCAATAAACACATTAAGGCTTAAATGAATAAAGGAGATCACAGTTGTTGTGAGAGTAATACAAAACGAGAAGAATAATATATAACGTGACTGAAAAAAATGTTATAAAATAAAGCATATTATTTATATTTTATTATAAACTATATTTTAAATTAAGCATACAATAAAGGTATACTTACTTTGCATATATTACAGAAAATCAAAACAAATATAGCTTTAACCGCCGCAAACGCAACATTGGTTGGCATTCTGCCAAAACACTTAGAATCGTCCAGAAAGAGTGTTAATTACGTGCTGCACTACAACAAAATAATCGACGCACCAAGAATGAATCATCCGATTGCTTTGAAATTTCGTATGCATAAATGTTTTGACCAAATATGTAAATGGTTAAAATTTGGTGTCCAGTGAATGAATAGTGTGATCTCCATCGTATCGCAATTGCGCATCTAGCAGATGTATATAAGGAGCTGTTCTTGAACTGTTGTTAAAAATTTCTGTTGCATTGCGAATTAAGATACCTTTCAACGACTGAAAAAAATGGCTTCCCACAGGATTCGAGCTCATTACGAGCAATTGTCAGAGTTTGAAGGAGGTCGTCATTGGATTGAAAGAGGCAGGTCGGGCAAATCGGAGAATCGCTCGTCATATGAATCGAAGCGATGCGGCGATTAGAAGATACTGGCAAGAATGGGTGGACAATAGCAGATTTTAGCGTAATGATGGCAGCGGTTGACCTAGGGCCACAACATATCGAGAGGACAGAGTGATTGTCACATCAGCTGTCACAACGCCTAATTCATCGCGATCAAACATCAGACGGGCGACCCGCACAGGAGTGTCCAAATAAATGGGGAAAAAATAAGAAGGTAAAAAATCACTACTACATGATTTATATCCATCCTCCCTATTTCATGAATAAATCGGTTCGAATGGCGCACAGCAAAGGGAAACATTCGCTACGAAAATACACGTATATATTGATACATACACATTTGAACTCCGTTATAACATATTTCAATTGACAGTAAATCTGATTCGCTATATCCATTCGATAAGAAAAATGGACCTGCATTTTCATACAATCCTCTTTACTCATGGCAACACACATTTCAGTTAACCAATACAAAATAAATTGGCCTCAGCAAGCGGACCTACTGCAGAACAGTTTGCATTTTTCAAGACAGCAAGCGGTAATCTAGCTAAGACGAGGAGAAGAAAGCAAGTGCGTCATCCAGTTTGGAGACCCAGTTGTAAAGGATTTAAATATTCGTTTACAGTTTCGAATTTCATTTCAGAATAAGTTGCATCATCCAGCATTTTAAAAGCCAAACTAAATGACTGTTGCAAATTAAAGTTATTATTTGCCTCATATAAATTTTCAAGTTACCTATTCATATGTAACAAAAAAATTTAACCCAATTTTACAACTTAAATTTGGAATAGCCTTTTAACTCTTCACTTTAATTTGGGCATTTCGTCTTTCTGTTCTAAAAACAGTAATTGCTTAATTTAGTAAATCTCTCTGAACTGCATGGTTTCCAGATTAATCTACGTCATATCACTTTTACACATCTCTGGTGATGTTTTATGAATTGAAACTCAGCCAGCCAATAATAGTTTTAGAAATCTATTAATTAACCAATCAAATGATATCGAAATCGAAACGAATTCAGTCTGAACTAAGATTTAACTCGTCGCACTTGTTTTCTGCTCCTCGGCTTAGCTAGACTGCTGCTTGCTACCCTCCAAATTGTAAAAAGTTCTTAAACAGGCTTGCCTATTGCAGCCAATTTATTTATGTTGGCTTACTAAAATGTTTGGTCAGCTAAAATAAAAGGGAAAATTTAACCCAGCTTTGAATTCATTCTGCATCTACAACGCATCATTATGATTTTAAGTATTTCTTGTGTGCCCCTGCCCCAACATGTGCGCTATCAACGACTTTCCCTCTTATTATGGATTGACAATAATAAGAGAATTAGAAAATGTACTTTAGAGAAAGAGTGACCTTTTAACTATGATGCTTCGTTTTGACATATTTCTATATACTAAAACATCAATATGAATTATTTCAATACAAGATAATTACAAATTTAATCCCAATGGGAGTATATTGTGAAACTACACAATGATAATTTATTAGAAGTAAAAATAAGAATCTCATGCAATTAAAAGCAAAAGGACCATTTAATCAGGAAATGGATCATGAAGTAATAAGCTGAAAAAAAATTTTAATATCACATATTTTTATCATGAAAAATAAGTTAAAAATAGGGCAGCACGCAGTGTTACTTTAAAAATTAGGAAAACAAATATGTGTAGCTCTCATTCAGAGGCATAATATTAATTTCAGAAATATTTTCTATTGAACTTATATCTATTTCGATAACATTACTAAATTCATGCATTCCTTTCGCTGCTTCAAATTCAACAAAGATAGTTCAATTTCGGTTTTCGCATTTTGATGCATGAAACGTCTCAGAAAAGAGGCAATGCATCTTTTATGGAAGGAAATACGACTTACGTGCTGGAGCTGCTGTAGAAGTCTCTTTATCGTCTTCTGTCTTGGTGGCCGGTGGGATTTTATGTTTCCATTTGAGACCGATGCTAGAGCGAGACTGGAAATCAACCCACAGGAAAGGAGGAGAAGGCGGATCTGAAGCGAAACAATTGCTACACATTCTATTTTATTGAAAATATAACATTAAGCACGAAATATATTTTCAAGTACAACGAAAGACATAAAGTCAGAAATAATGCTTTAATCTAAAAGCATTACAAACTGAAGAACATTTATACTTTGGAATATCATATATAAATTAGATATAAACATTTGTAAATGCATTAATATTAGTAATATTCATGAACAGTAACAAAGTATTCTTTCACGGCAGTAATTCTTTCACGGCACTTAGACTATGAAAATACACTACTCTAGCATAAATCACATATGCACAATGACAAAGTAACTGTAGCATAAATGATGAAAGAATTAAAACATTAACATGTTGACATTATATCGGTTCAGCTGACTCATTTCGAATTTCAATGAATCAATAAAGTTTTTGTCCTTTCATAGCCAGAATTAGTTAAGTAAATTCCGAGTAATAGCTCTTTAGTAACCACTAAAACGGAAACATATCGATGAATTGTAACAATTTTGTTAAATATTCCGTTTAGATAAAGATTTTTAATAGCGATTAGCAAGCAAACCAATCAAACGCGCAGAATAGATTTTATATCAATGGAAAGCAATTCCAAATTACAAAAAAGTAAACATAGAAATAAAATGCATAGTCATTTTTATCTGCACTATGTCTTACGCGAAGAAAGGCCTGTTTTAAAATTAAAACAATGTCACATGTGGCATGAAATTAGTTTACTAATAATATAATAAAAATGTGATAATTTTGTTATTGTCCCTAGCCGCTCATAAATTTGCAGAACAGCTTTGTTCTATTTTCAGAAAGAAGTTGCCGCTGATCTGCCAAGAGCAGTTTTATGTTTTAATTTATATCTGTAACTACAAGTCATAATTTCAGAAATTATAATTATTTTTATATGATTTTATTAGTGACTTTTTGTAAATTAGTTGACAAGTAACTGGCCGATAGCTTATCAAGCATTACCATTAGTATTTTAACTAATTACTATCGAAGCCTTTCAGTAATTGACAGATTGAATCAAGTCAAAAATTGTATGCATGCTATAAATTTACTTAATAGCCGTGCCTTTATTCGTAAAAATCATTTCAAGGAAAAAAGTTGTAGAGTATTTATTTATTTTGATTACAGTTACTTTATGTTATTTAGCTTTCTTATCTTTCTTGCCTTCCATTTTGCTACCAGAATGCTAATTTCTAGTTCGCGCGTTTTCAGATGATGTAGGAAAGAGATCGTATTTAAAGGAATGTTTTAAACGGTAGAATTATAACATTTTGCGTCCTCTAAAGGCCACGTTTGCCACTCCATTCTATTGAGAATAGTTTATCTGCGGCGTTCAGTTATTCTCGCCATTAGGATTGACACACCGATAGTAGATCTGAGACAACGTGCGCGATTCCTGTCTTTGTAGCCTATTGGGCTAACTTACGATTAATTTAGTTTTAATTTAAGTTTTCTTACGTTTTTGGTTTACGCCATAAATGCCGGCTCTGTAAGCATAAGACGTTCCTTCTTTTAAACTTTTATACGAGTTAAATAAAAGAGTCCTTTATATCCTTCACAGTTTCTTTGGTAATTTTTCAAGACATAGCAATAAGTCGCTTCTCGTAGTTTATGTTACCGAAAAGAAAGTGACTCTGTAAAGTGATGAAATGTATTCTATAACCATATTTTATTTTAGTGAAAAGAAAATAGTAAAATAAAAAAGTATAATTCCAAGTGTTCTGCAATTCACCCAAAATTTTATATAGACCACGAAGAAAAGTATTCACGCTCCAAATCAGGTCAATGTTTGAGCAAAAAGCAGTGCTAAATCCATCAGTGAAAAGGATTTCCATAAATAAAATGCATCGTTTCAAAATTAAAATTAAAAACTCAGAAATTTTATTAGTTTATTAATTCAGTAGCTTGAATAATAATCATACATTTCCTTTCATGTTATTAGTTTGTTATCAGATCCGAAATTTTGATTTTCTGTATATTTTAAAAGGTTTTTAGTAAAAAAAAAAAAAAAAAAATGCATCCAGGTCACAGAATTAACTTTATTACTAAAGTTATCTGCATTTGTAATCTAGATGTAAATTTTTTTTAAGCTTTCAAATTAAGTTTGATTTTTGATAGGAATCATAGCACTGGAGCAATGCATTACTATAACAATATACAGATGTTCTCGATTTACCATGGTACGACTTATGAATTTTCAAGGCTACAATGGGAAGACAGCATTACGCATTCAGTAGAAACCATGTTTCGAACTTTATGTATTAATTATTTTGTACGCTTAAAAAATATCCTCCAGTTATTTCAAGCCTAACAAAACATACTGATCATCTTGTTTACTGTAATATTCCAGAAATTAGGTTTAGGTCTCAAATATTCTTTTGGTTCAGTGAGCTTTCGGCTGTGTATGTTAACAATGAGTACCTAAATACATCCATTTTAATTTGACGTTCAGGATGGCATTTAATAAATTCTAGGAGATATTTAGCACTTTACTATCAAAATAGCTTGATGATTAAATAACTAATTAGCTAATTAATATGATAATAAATAAATGATTAGCTAATTAATGTGATTAAAATAGCTTTAATGATTTTGCGATAATTACTAATGCAAATTTTTTGTTGGCTAATGTATGCCTTCTGAAAATATTTAATCTAATATAAATTTCAATATTCGATAGGTTAAATGTATTTTCGGCTTAACAGTATTTTCAGTTTGTGATGAGATTAGTCAGGACTTACGGTGTTCACCATAAGTAAAAGGACGCCGTGTATAGTCGAGAGCTTTTTGATTACATAGCTGTATAAACAGCCGAAAATGCATTTTTGTTTCGAAGTTAAAAATAGCTTACATATAAAAAATATGTAAGCTATTTTTAACTTCGAAAGAAAAACTTTTTTGACCTTTGAAAATGTTGTTTCCGGATTAATAAATATTCTCTCATAATGAAACAATGATAAAATTTTCTTTCACGGCACGTAGACTATGAAAATAAACTACTCTAGCATAAATACGCCGTTATGGGAAGGATTTTTTATTTAATACTAACTTTACTTACCCTCTATGTTATCGTTTATATTCTAAGAAACTCAACTGTAGTAAAAATTATAATACTAATGGTGCCACGTTACCCGTGTCTGATGTCTTGGCGACGACGTCTTGAGAAGCAGGTCCACTTCCCGCACTGTTGAAAGCTTGCACAATGACTCGATATTCTGTTGCCCTTTGCAAATTCGTCAAACGGTATTCCTCTTCGCCTTGTTTGCTGAATTCTACGGTTTTGAAGGAATATGGTTCGCTACTAGATGCAATTTGATAGCCTATGTAGTAGCCTTTCAACTGACCGTTCCACTGGTCTCGCGGAGGGGTCTAGCAACACATCAAAAAATGATATGAATACTTTTCAAAAATCATCTACAATATTAAACTGATAAATTTCAGAAATATGAATAAATTTGTAACTATAATAACGTAATAAATAAGTAAAATGATTTGAAGGTATGGTAACATTTAACCCTTTGCGGCACAGTGTGTCCGGTCTGGACACTAAAAATTTCCTTCTGTACGCATAGAAAAATTGAGTGAAAGAGGATTTATAGGTTACTATAGGTTACTCTGAACCTTCTTTATTTATAGTAGATGGCAGATTAACACAAAACAGTCCATATATTTTAGGCATGTTTAGTTTTTTAAAACACTCATTTTTCAAAGAAATCTTCCAGATGTTTTTAGGGTATAAAAGGAATTGTTTGAAAAGAAATTTCTATGCTATTTTTTGGCTGTACGATAAAGCGATCCGGATAATCAGCGATTCAGATAATCGGAGTTCGGATAATTGGAGTTGTACTGTACTAGCTGTTACCCGACATACGTTGCACTGCTACTTAAAGTAAGGGAAGAGTTTGTGTTTTAATTATGTTTATTGAGGTGCTTTGGGATACACAATATTTTTTGTTTTTCCATCTGGTGCTTATACAGGCAAATCGAAAGGTTTTCGACGCATGAGCAGGCCACATAGAGCTGTTCATGTGGGAAAAGCACAGATTTTCCAAATTTAGTCCACAAACTTCTAGCGATTGTTCCAGTGCTTTGTTGTTGGTAACTGCAAATGCGAGTCGTACCAAAAACTGCAAAAGCTTAAATTCGAATGGAATATCTATCGGAATCATTGGGATACGTGGCTGTTATTCGGCATGCGTTACAGTGCTACTTAAATAAAAAGTCGTGTTTGTGTTTTAATTCTGCTTATAGAAGTACTTTTGGATACACAATATTTTATGTTTTACTACCTTCTATGACGATTTTACTTTCCTACACACGCCACATATTTCTGGTGCTTCATTTACAGATTTGAGGACTCTGCAGAATTTAATACATGCATAATTTATCCATCTTTCCAACGAGCACACTTGGTTGAAGACTGTAATCATAATAAGCATCGTAATGGAACGCACCAAGCTTTACATCAGCGTGCAGTGTTGGTCTCGATCGAGCAGTGCATACTCGAATGATTTCCTGTCTTGCTTTCCGTTACTCATTTGTTTCAGCTCGTGATGCCTTTTTCTTTCGAGCTCGAGCAATCGATTTTCGTTTTGAAGGCATAATTGATTTCACAACGAAAGTAATGCTTGTGATGACTATTATGAATTCACTTTCAAAAAGCATTTATTTTTATAACTATCTTTTTCATGAAAGTTATTAATCACATTAATTTCCATATACTGCATATATTACATTTCAAAAGAAAGAGTTTAGTGTTTTTAAAGGGATAGTGATCTATGTCTAAATACTTTGTCTATGAATCGATTTACATCGCAAAGATTGTTAAGATATCATCATGAAGAGGAATTCTTTGAGAATACAAGGAACTAGCTGTTACATTAAACATGACTAAACAAATGTTTTTTTTCGGACAAAATATGCAATTATATTTTGAATGCAAGAATAATGCAGGACTTGAGTCAAAAAGTTTCAAAGTGAAATTCATAAAATATATGCTTACACTATTAGAAAATATAATTTTGCTGAAACTTGATATAAAAGTTAAGGACATCAAAAGAAACACTTTAATTCAGCGATAAGATTACTTAATTGGGTTCCGTATAAAGCAAGGATTCATATCTTCTAAAGTTTTCGGAAGAATACTTTTAATATATGTGTATTTTTAATCGCTTTTAGATAATCACAGAGTCAAACAACATTTTCCTTTTTACTCTTACCTTCCATTTGACTCGCAAAGTTCCAGCTCCACGGGCTTCGACTGTGACATCAGTTGGTGGTGCAGAAGGTTCTAATCAAATAATATCAATATAAGAACGATTAAAAATTTGCTGATGAAAATAGAAATTCATTATTAAATATTATTTTTTAATATGTATCACGAAATTATTCTAAAAATATATATTGATTGCATAAATTCTCTAAAACATGAATATTTAATTTTTGTATCTTAATTTTGAAAAATAATTGAAATTTTAAATCGTCGCTGTTAGCACAAGGATGAGATATGACAGCCCATGCTCTTTTTGACTTTTCATTATTGCTACATACTCGTATAAGTTTCATAGAAGTTTAGACATTTTTATTTCTCTTGAAAGGCAACTTAATATAAAAGTAAGAATTGCTAAGTACACGAACTTCTGCAATTGAAGCGGCTAAATATTTCAGTAAATAAAAACATTGTTCTACTTTGACTCAGGCAGCATGCTTTAGCTAAATTACTCCTTACTCTTCATTCTTTTAAAATCTCAATCAATATCATTTAAAATTTTTTAAAAATTTCTGTAAAAATCATCAATATGTTAAACATTTAATTTATATTTCCGGTAATAACACTGACGACATGAGACAATTATCACTACTGCACGATACATAACATGCATTAGTACGATCCTTATAAAGGAAAAACAATGAATTAAGCGTGCAATTTTTGTTTCTTTTCACAATTTGGGAATAATTTTATAAGATGGTAGTGTCACTTAAATATTAGATAGATTATTTTTCTCACGGTTTTAAATATGTAAACGTGATGCATTTTTGTATTATTTGATGCGCACTGATATTGAACTTGCATGTCTGAAAATTTGTCCCTTACCCGCTTCTTTTGTTAGGAACTGTTGAGATTCAGACGGATTACCCCGTCCCACATCATTTTCGGCCAGCACTCGCACTACATATGAAGTACCTGGTTGTAGATCTTTCAGCATGGTAAAAGTCTGAGAAGCGGAAACTTTTTCTTCTTCCAGTCGATGAGGGGCACCTATACAAAAAAGACGTGGAATGAAATCTAGTCGTAAATATTCTGCTTCAGTCATGAAGAAATTTGTATGTATGACTTTTACCTGCATCTCTCCAGTACTGTACGACGAAAGACGTTATTGGACTATTTCCACCGTATGGAACGTTCCATCGAACAGTGGCACTTTGACTCCAGGTCTGCTCCACGCGGACGTCGCTTGGGGGACCCGGAACCTCTGCAAGAGACGAAAGATTTTACATATTTATTCCGAAAGAAACTTTTATTGAAAAAAATGAACATGATTATTTCGATTCATGAAACATGATTATTTCGATTCAGGTGACAGACCGGCTGTTATTTTAAAGTCGCATAAATACCGAAAATACTTCAAAATGTAGTTCTTGGATTTCATTTTAGTGCCTGAAAGCTAATATAGCATGGTATAACTTAATAAAACATGGAATTTTACAGTTGCAGTGTAAAATGCAAGAGGCGATAAGAAACGAAAACTGAATTTTTTAGTATTTAGAATATTTACTCGCATATACGTATAAAGTAAACAAAACGTTTAAATTAATATTCTGTAAAATGACAAATATTTATGTAGGCCTGGTTACCATTTAAGCCTACAAGGTCCGACCTAAGACTATTTACCTATAATTCTTCATAGTCTGCTTTTTTTCTTTTTCGCTCATCAGAGTTGGAGCCCCTGAAATAATGATGTGTCTAAATCCTCCAGCATGTCTTGACAGGCCTGGCGTACACCAATGCTGAGTACACTAAATAGGAATTAAAACAATTTCGAATTTTGCGAACTTTGCAGCAGGAATTCGGGCACAATCTAGCAAGAAATCAAATGAATGTTCTTCTTCTAATTTTTCAATAAAAATCATATTTATTATTCCCGTGTAATAAAAATTTAATAATCTCTTTTCTCGATGCATTTATATTGCATGCTTTTGGTGATCCTGTTTCCAGCAAATTGAGCAAGTTTTCTCAAGCATGTTAATACTAACTTCAACAAAGCCATTGACACCTTCTCTTATAAAGAAGGATTTTCGACTATAGTTGCTGAGACCTTCTCGTGTAACAGCTTTGTGTATTTAATTCTAAAGTATAAGTAATTATTTATATAAATATATTTACACAGCCATTGAAATCAGTATAGTTCAACCACTTCTCACATAACATCAGGACCAGCTTCAAGCATACGCAACATAAGCAGCCGCCTAAAGCGCCAGCTATATTGTTCTTATAAACGATAATAAACGTGTATTTCGCTTTGAATTAGTTCTAAATTACCCCTAAGTGTGCAGGAAAATGCTGAAGCTGGGGCTGGTTATTATGATCTTAAGCATGATGACTCCGACTGCCAACCTTTGCTTTCTTTGCTGGTAGAGGAATGAGTTATGATACTTTTTCTTTTTATTCTAGCTTCCATGGATTTTATGTAGTGCGGAATGGCATACGCATTCTCTTTTGACAGGGTGTGTATTTCCTCTGTTATTAAAAGCGGGAGATATTTCTTTGCGCGACATAAACAGTAATACTTTCTCTTCTGCCTTCTTCCGTAGTGTAAGTGATCAGTAAGTGCGGTTAATGACAGGACGAACAGTGGTTCAATTCCGGTAAAGTCAGAATTAGCTTTGCGCATTTACTAAAGTGGAATATCTAATGTTTTCTACAGTGGTGGCAGATATAAAACGTGATAGACAATGACTCATCATCACCTGTATTTAATCGACTGGGTCTGGGACTAGATCTAATCGATTAAATCCAGGTGTCCCTCATTTAAAAGGTGACATCTCCGTAGTCTCCCTTTCAAGTAGTAAAGAATGTAAAGGAATTATCGCATTCCCTTGTGCATGATTACATAATGTGTTAAGATAGTCTCTGTATGCTTTATTATATTCCTGCCCTTTTTAGCAATAAATTAGGAATAAATGAGTTTGGGCTCCATGATTAAATCTGTTGTAAGTGAAAATATTTGATAATTTTATAATTAAGTACAACAATAAAAAAGACCAATGCAATTCAATTGTTACCTTATGTTATTGGAGAATTTAATTCTTTTAATTGCAGGTTAGATTTTATGAAAGCTAATATGAAAAATATGAAAGGTCATAAATCCCCATTACTTGCTTGGAAAAAATGTCTTCCAAATTTCCTACTTTATTTAAATTGACGTGCAAGAAGTAATTGCTGAACATTGTTCCAGAGTTCATTGATTTAAATGGAAAATCTCTCATTCGCAGACCGTTTATTTTTAGGCGGCATTCTACCTTCTTGAAACAACATTGCATTGACATCAGCAAAAAGAATGTATCGAATATAAAAAAAAATGACGAAGAAAATAATTTACAGTCTGTCTGAAGGTTCTTATTTTTATGTCCCTTTCAGCAGTCTATTATGCAAGTCGATATTCCAACAACCTTATTGCGCATGTGAGCTTTGACATGACGTCACGAGGTCATAAAGCATACGATAAGTCTTTGAATCAGAAGAGATTGAATTAAAAAAGAATGCATGGCATTTTGAAGCTGCGCCGAAAGTGAACTTGTTTAAGAAATCGATCTGTCTTTGAGTTATAATTGCAAATGATCATCAATTACCATTTGTACACATGCGGGTAGTCTGGCGTGCGCTTTGTTATTAATGAATTTACCAAGGGCGTCATTCGTAGTTCTTCCTCTGATCAAAAGATGGCGCTCATCAGAGTGAGTTTCATTCGGCGTAACTTTTCTTCTCCACGCCCATTTTATGGGTGCAAAAAATACAAAGTAAATGCTTTTTATTTTTCTTAAGATGGTTAGATGAAGAGATAAAAAATACCCATTCGATGTTAAATCCTCGGAATAGAATGAGGTCATAAAGTGATATATCTGTCACGGAAGGGAGAAAGAAATTTCTGTTTCATAGAGTGAAACTGGAAATTTATTTCTGTTTGTATTAAGAGCATCTTTAGTGGGTTATCTTACTTAAGTAATGAATAGAGTAGCAGCAGCTGTCTCCTTATTTTCGCGTATGCGATGGATTTAAATACCATTTATGGAGAAGAATACAAATTTTTGCAAAATTTCTACGAAACAAAAGAAAAATTTCAATGTTATTTAATTATAAAAATTTGTAAGGAGTATTAGGGATGAAAATGCTTTTTATTCCGATTATCAAATTTTATGGCAAAACAATGCGACGCATAAAAGGCGTCATACACCATACACAAAGTACGGAATATAATATTTTAGAATTTTGCTTTTAAATGTAACCCCGATAATTTTATAAACACTGGATTTATTTTTATAACATAAAAAATTCATACGAAATAGGTATTAAACTAGAAATAATTTGGTTTCATTCACATGTATATATGGCTTCACCTTCATTTCACAAATGATACAGAAAAAGTAACAAGCAGGCGAAGACTTGGAAAATGGCAATGTGGGAAAATGTGGCAATGTTTTGCTGCATGTCTAGTACTTTTATGCCGTTGAGTGATAAGCACTGTATTTACATAGACTCTTGGTTGTAGATGTTCTATCATACGCTAGTTTCCTGATCAGTGTAACAGGAGAGTTACAAGAGAATAAGAAATTGCTGTCATCAAAAACCCTCCATCGAAATACTTATAATCAAAAACCCTCGATCTGAACAAGCATGAATGACAGTTACCCATAGCAGTCCATTCTTAAATTTTACAGCCCTGTATAAGTAAAACATTTGCCAAGGTTCTTCATTACGCTTAATTAACATTGTCAGTCGATTATTCGAGGTGACTATAACAATAACTATTAGCCAAAAAATTCTGTCATTCATAAAAACGGCATGCGTCTTATAAACTGACGGCTAACTGTTTCTTTCTCAGAATCTTCTTACTACATTCGATATAATATGTTGTTTCCATTAAATCCATCACCGTCTGCAAAATTAATACTTTACTAAGAAATAAGACATTCGTTCTTAAAAATTATTTTTATAAACGTATCCGAATCATTGGAATTAAACCCGAATAACATATTTTATTTTCGTCATTTTATTCAAGAATAATTTTAAATAATTAGTAAATATTAATCAATAAGAAAAGGTATTTTTTAGAAGTTGAATCTCTTATTTAAATAAAAATATAAATAGCGCATTAAAAATTTGATAATACATTTTAAGTTTATGAAATTATCATTCTAATTAGAAAAGTTTCATTACTACCTTTGGCAGCATTAATGCCCGTCTACTACACTTAATCACAAATCTCAGCAGTATCGCAACTGATTTTAGTGCAGAAAATACAGAATAAAATTACTCACATTGTGCAGTTTAAAAGTCTGGCATTATAAAAAACGACATGTCTCAGAGTATTTTTTAATTCTGAAATACCCTAAAGACAATTTCTCTCATTAAATCTTACTAATTGCTTGGATACTTAATATTCAGTCTTAAAAATGTAGTTCAATGTTGTTTCAATCACAAAAATTGAAAGTCTTAATTATTTATTTTTTTATTCCTAATTTGATATGATTCAGTTTAATAACATCCTTAATTCCTAATTTAATCATATCGTTAATTCCTAATTTGATGTTCCATTTAAGTTTCTTGCGCTTAAACTTAATCATTAAATTTATATATAAAAAGTTACTTCCTGAATACATTTTATATTTTATTAGTTTTAATTGCATTTTTATTTTTTCTATTTACAAAGTCAGCAATTAAATATGTGTTTGCCTTGCAATTTTCAAAGTAGAAACGAGTTTCAGCACTTTAATCCTTACCAAAATATTTATTTGCAAATTAAGTATTAGAAGGAAAATAAAGTTTATTTTATTTATTCTCAAATAAGCAAGTGCAGTTATTTTACTCTAAAACCAAACAAGCTAGTACTTGCTTTTAAAGTAGTAAAACGGCATATAATTCATGGTTCTAAATATTTTATGAATAATAAGTAAAACATTTACCGAGTACAACTAGTTTGACAGTCCGTTCATCTTTCCCAAAAGCGTTCTTAGCGATGCAGACGTATAGCCCATTATCCTCACGGTCAGTCACTTGTACGTGCAGTTCTGAGGTAGTTCCTCGCTCTGACGTACTGTCATATACTTCATATCTGAGCATAATAATTTTTAAACTTCAAAATGAAAAGAACAAAAAGCAATATGACACTGGAAAATATTTCATCAATACACATAAAATCATTTTTACATTCTTTTTTGAAAGAAATTGAAATAAAATAACCCTGAGTTCAGTTTAGGAACAAGTATCTGCGAATGATATGTTTTGAAGAAATTTTAGAAAATGCGCCTCTACATGCGCGGGAAATCGCAAATTCTACTGTCTATAAAAACATTTCTCTCTATATGCGTTTGCAAAAACAAACAGAATGTGAATACTTTCTTAACGTTAAAAAATGATATGCAATACATAGCTAGAATATAATTAGGAAAAAATAGAAGTTTCCTGATTTCTAAGATCTTTCATAAATAATTTATATGCTTTAAAAATGGATTTGGATGGAGAAAAAATTTCAGAAATAAAAACATTTTCAGTTATATTGAAATTGCGCGTTAAAAGTTTCAGTTTAGTACCAGAAATATTTCCTTAACGCGATAATAGATTAATGAAATAGTTAGTAATATCTTTTCATTTGTTGTCTTTTCAAAAAATATTAGTCGATGAAAACTTATAATAAACTATTTAGAAAGCATTGCATTGTTAAATTTAATATTTTTAGCATTAAAAATGCTTCATAAAAACATTTGAATATTAACAATAGCTTTAAATCGGAATAAGATTGTCAGGCTTCAGCACTTTTAGTAGACTATTCTTTTAAAGTATTATCTGCTATGCAGTTTAAATAGTTATTTTATTTAATAGAAGTGAACAGTACATTTTGGTGTCATGAGAATTCAGAACCATGTTATAGATAACTGAATTTAATGAATACGCAAGGCTTCAGTTGGACTTTTCATTACGTTGACAAAAGCGTAACTGTCTTGTTTCTGCTATATGTATTGTAATATCTTGTTATTTAATAAATAAATATAATTATTGTTGAAGTGGCAACGCCATTTTTGTATTAAAACCGTTACTCAGCAACGTGAGATATTGTTTTAAAAAGATGAGTTCTGAAGATTTTACAGCTAAGAGTAGTATTAAATTTTGCACTTAAGAATGTATAAATTTGTCTATCACCGAGAACTAGAAATAAAATTTATGCTCTACTAAGAAGATGTCTGTTTTTTGTAAAGTACTGCAAAATACATTACAGTCTTAATAAATTGGAGGTTCCACCGAGATACTGGAAATTAGAGTGCAATTTCATTTCGATGGTGCTGGTCTCCTAATCCCAAAATTTTTGAATTTTTCAGAAACAAGTTTGCTAATACCAATTGCCAAGTTTGTTTATTTCAGGAGAAAGAAATGGATGTAAGAAGTTTGCCATTTTAAAGCCAGATTGGAAGCGGATCATTCAAAGATTATCTTCTGGCTTTTTAACTTGCGTCCAAGCAAAGAATTGTCAGAACAGGACATTGCTGATCTCTGAAGATACGATTAACTTTTGGTTTCTTAAAAAAGCTTTTATTGGATTTTAATACTTTTTTCAGAATTATAGTTTATCGTGTAAGATTTTGTTTAAATAACTGACGCTAAAAATATTCAGCTTAAATTTATAATTGGTATTTGTGGTAATATTTTATGTTGATGCATAAACGTTGATACCTACATTTGTATTGAATTTTTATGTTGATAATTGATATGTGTACGCCATCTTGGCATTTATTAAAAAAATGCTAGCTGAGTGTTTTTCAATTTGTTGCCAAGCAGGCTCGTGGAAAATAAGTAAAGTAACGTCAAACTGACGCATTATGATTTGATTATACTGCCAAATTGTCAAAAGTCTTCTTAGTTCTCGCCATCCAGGCGTATGGTAGATAGTAACGTCATCCCGACGTATTACAGATTATTTCTAAAAGTTGTACTGCCAAGCTGGCAAAAATTGTTTTTGTTATCGCCAACCAGGCGTGTAGATAGATTGTAAAATCGTCAATCTGACGTGGGTAAAATTCCTTGTATTCCCTAACTGGAAAAGGTGTTTATATAGTTATAGCCAACGAGGCTTGTGAATAGTGTGTTAAAACTTCAACCCGTCGTAGTGTTATTTTATTTTGTGCCAAACTGGCAAACTTGTTTAAATATCTTTCACCAGTTGGTTAGAGTGAATTTCGTATTTCACAAATTGAGTCACGTTAAATTATACATTTTTTAATACGACGAGCTTTTAGATTCAATTTCACAAGGAAAGCCTATTAAAGGTAACTTGTGTCAACATTTCATTCTTAGCTAGGGAGTAAAAAACAGGATTTAAAAGTACTGGCAGAAGAGATTAGGTTTAACCGTGAGACCTGAATTTAAGATTTCTCAGTTGCATAAATTGATTACTGAAAGTCCCGGTTATGATGAGAAATTTACTCGAGAAATACTGGCTGCAGTTAGAGAAGAAAGAACGAAAGAAAGGAAGAAGGCGAAAGAGAATAAAGAGAAGAAAGAAAAAAAGAACGCAAAAGAGAAAGCGAAATGAAGAACGAGAAAGAAGAAGAACCGAATAGAGAAAGAAAGAAGAGAAAAAAGAGGAAAGAAAAGAAGAAAGCTGAAAGAGAAGATCGAATTAGAGCCTTTGAGCTACAGAAACTTCACTGGAAACAATGGCTGCCACAGCACAGCCGGTAGAAACTACGCAGTTACCTGAGCAGCCTTAAAAAATCAGAATTCACGATATGCCACGTTTCAACCCTAAAAAGATGAAATAATTTTATTTGGTGTTATTTGAGGTCAAGCAAAATAATTAATTATCTGCTGCAAATCAAGTGACTCAACTTATTCATTGCTGCCTCCCGACATTGTTCAGCTTATTGCTAGAGAACCAGAAGAGGACGCGAAACGTACGAATATGTAAAAACTTTACTGTTACAACATTTAAATTAAGTGCGGAAAAGTTCGACAACTATTTAATAAACACCAAAAATCTACTGAAAGTACTTGGTATGATTTCTACTATGAATAAAAGATTTAAAGGATGGCTAACGGATTAAATAAAACTTTTGAACACTAAAGATCTCATGCTGGTTGATCAAATAAAAGCGTACCTCTCCTGATTTCAAGAAAATTTTATGGATCAATGGACACATTTCACACCTACTGAAATAGTTAGAAAATTGAAGATTTTGAATGTGAGGAAACCATAAAACCGAATTTTCTGCAATCAGACTGATAATTAACAAAGGATCTTTAAACCGCGTTTTGAGTTTGTGAAAAAATAGGCATCCGCCTTATTTTAAAAAAGCATTCTGATATATCGGATGATTTTAAATACGAGAAAGATCATTGATAAAGAAGTCAATTCCAAAACAAGACCCCAGAAAATTTATATAGCAAAAGATATAGACCATGTTGTTTCAAGTGTGGGTCATAACGAACATTTTTAAGCCTCAGTGGCCCTCGCTTAAAACCCGAAATGAAAGGATAAATTGCGGTATCTTTCCGAATGAATAATTTGTTTAGAAGACATATACAATTAAAGGGTTTAGTTAATTGGGCATGAAATGCCTATTCTTCGAGACACAGAAGCCACTGTTGATGTTTATTTCTCGAAAATACATAGATAAACGCAAAAAGTGACTTGGAGAACATGTCTGGATACAATATCTTTTAAATGACCATTTAGTGTGTCTACCGTTAGCGGAAAGTTGAAATTAATTGCGAACTTGGTCATATAAAGACAAATGGCAGCTGTTGTTACAAATGATCCCGGCAGATATGTATTGGGTAACAAAACTGCCCAATTGTTCAAAAATAATCAATTTAGAAAAAATAAATGCAGTTTTGACACATCTCAAGTAAAAAAAGATCTCGTGAACGAAATAGAGAAACCGAAATGGAGAAACTAGAAAACTGACGTTTATTGACTGACGAAGATATTTTACCGCAAGCTGATGAGGAAGACAAGGAAATTAAGAAATGATTATGTTAATTCAAAGGAATTAATTGAATCTCACATCAAAGCAGATCTTTCGTCATTGCTTAACGAAGCTAAAATTGAAAATTCCGCAAGACAAATGATATCAAAGTAAAAAAACGGATGTTGGTGAATAGGAAAAATAAAATGGAAATGAAAGGAATTATTGTTTATTCCTGAAAATACAGGGATCAAATAAGTCATTATTCATGATAACATCTGGACATTTTAGGCGTCGTCAAAACTAAAGATAGATTAACAAGATACCTTTACTGGCCCTAATTGCTATAAAGAAATAGAAGAGTAGTTAAAACTTGCGATCCATGTCAAAGAGTGGGAAATCAATGATAAAGCCAAAGCACCTTGACTTTAGTACCAATTATTGCAGAAGTATTTTCAAAAAATTAACTTTGACGCATGCGGTCCTTTACCACTAACACCGAATGGCAATAGATATTTAATTACCGCTATTTGTTTAGCTTCAAAATATCCGGATGCTGTACTGTTCCTAATATTGGCACAACGTCAGTAATTGAAGCATGTTACAAATATTTAGTAGAAATGGGTTCCCGAAAGAATACAAAACTGATCAAGGTACCTCCTTTATGAGCAATCTAGCCATAGAATTTGTAGAAAAATTTGGAATAAAGTAACTAGAAGCTCAGTACACCATCCGCAGAGCAACCCTGTTAAAGATTCACCGAACAATCAAACGAATTTTAAAATTTTTATGTATCGAAGCATCCCTGAGGGGAGAAGCAAGTTCCCGCAGCTCTATTTGCTTTAAGAACAATACGCACGAGAAGTACGGGATTTACACCTGCAGAATTTAGTATATGGTCGAAATCTTTAGAACACCTGTAACATTATTATATGAAATCGATGAATCCTGAAGACGAGGAAATAATGTTTGTTGAATACTTTTTTCAATTGATAAATCCGGCTAAAAGATGCAAAGAGCTGCTACAGATAAATGCTGGAAATGCAAACCAAAGAAGTGTGGTCGATCGTAATATAAAAAGAGAATTCTCTGAAGGGGATAGTATAGTTTGTATCAACAATAACCCAAAACTAGCAGTTGAATGAAGGTCCTG